GGGAACGATTTATTAAACAGAACATCAAAAGCACAGCCATACATTTTTAAAAAGATTAATATGATTACTTTAAAAGTAGGACTTTTGGTTCAATGAAGGGCAAAGATAACAGGCAGATGAGAAAATTGAAAAAGAATTTATCATAGCTAAAATTGACAAGAAACTCTTATACATTATTGAGGAAAATACATTGTATCAAAAATTCTTACGCATCGACAAGGAAAAGACAGAAACCCTAGAAGCACAGACAGTGGGTAGGAACAGGCAATCTACAGAGGAGTACACTGAAAAGACCCACAAGCATTGAAGAGATGCTCAAAATATCTGCTAATAGACAAATGCAAATACAAATAATTATGATATATCACTTGACTGGAAAAGAAAAATAGAAAGCAAGACCATTTCAAGAGCTGGCAAACATATGGGGATGGAAAACTCTCAGGTGTTCTGCTGTTGCTGCTGAGGAGCCATCTGGGGGAGTAATCTGCCAGTAATTAGTCAAACTAAGTATATATAATTGTACAATCCGGCAATTCTATCCCAGGTGTGTACACTAGATAAATTCTCACACAGATCCAGAGAGGGCCACGTGCAAGGTTGTGAACTGCAATTTAATTTCTGGTGGCAAGGAGCAGGAGGCACCCTGGCTGTCCCTCGCTGAGAAAGCAGGTAGATACAAAGTGATGGATGTGACCACCCTGCAGTTAGAGACCGTGAATTAGATGTCTGTGTAACAACATGGAGGGATCATACAACATAGTGGAGGTGGAAGAAGAAAGAGAATTAGTTATAATCCAGTGTCATTGCTATAAATCTGAAATACACACACATGCACAAAACATCATATCCATTTTGCACATAAAAAGATACACATTAAACACATTGACTTAGAATGATGGGGGAGAGGAGCAATGAAAGACAGAAATGGGGGTTAAGAGGAAGAAATAAGCACAGTAGAGGAACCTCCATGGACCTCTGATGACATTGTGCCATGAACCAATGAGTGTTATCAACTCAAGTCTCTGTTCCTGAGAGCTAGAGTAAACAAAACAAAACAAAACCAATGTACTCTGTTGAAACTTTCAAGCTTCCTCCAAAGGGCCCTGCCAAACTGGGGACATCCTACCTGTCTTCAGTTATCCCCTCTTAGGTCCTGAAAAACGCTAAACCTGGCCTAGACTGCTGAAAGAGTTGATGACATTTCTGTGTTTCCTGTCTATCCTGTTGGGGTATTATCCATGATATTGTGATTCAATATGTTATATTAACCTCTATGTGGTATACATCTCTTGCCACCTACTTATATTTAGGGTTCATGATTCTAAGACCCACAGATGTGGGTGTCCACGACAAAATTCTGATCTTAGACGATACTTTTTGCTATTCTCCCTTTTTCTAATAGCAAATAATTTTCATGATAGTAAACTGCAAATCAAATAGCAAAACTTAAATGCCCATCAGTAGAGACTGGTTAAATAACTATGATACATCCAGGCCGGGTGCGGTGGCTCAAGCCTGTAATCCCAGCACTTTGGGAGGCCGAGACGGGCGGATCCCGAGGTCAGGAGATTGAGACCATCCTGGCTAACATGGTGAAACCCCGACTCTACTAAAAAATACAAAAAACTAGCCGGGCACGGTGGCGGGCGCCTGTAGTCCCAGCTACTCGGGAGGCTGAGGCAGGAGAATGGCATAAACCCGGGAGGCGGAGCTTGCAGTGAGCTGAGATCTGGCCACTGCACTACAGCCTGGGCGACAGAGCGAGACTCCATCTCAAAATAAATAAATAAATAATAATAATAATAATTATGATACATCCTTACAATAGACTATGCAGCCACTAAAATAAATGAAGAAGGTTTTAAGTCACCAATATGGAATTAACTTCTAGACATAGAAGTGAAAAAAAAAAGCGTCGAAAATCATGTGGATAATATGCTACAATTTACAAGCTTGTATATCTCAAACATCTCTGAAAGAATATATAAGAAACTAATATTGGTTGCCTTAAAGAAAGCGACCCAAGTGACTCTGCACAGAGATAGAAGGAGATTTTCTGTATGTTTATACCTTTTGAATTTTTGGATTATGTGACTGCATTCACTATTTTAAATTAATATTTAAAAATCAATAAATTTGGGAAAGGGGTTAGGGAGATGTTGGTCAAAAAAAAAAAGATGAAAGAGGAGGAACAAATTAAAAATATAAAATAAAATCTACCAATACAATTTATAAATTTATAATAGTCAAGGATTAAAAGTTTTCAGAATATTATATCATATATATGTAGATAGAGAATAAACAAACAGATTAAAATGATAAAAACTATGCCCACTATTGGTAGGTATAAAGCGAGACTGAATTTTAGCAACTTAATTTAAAAATTTAAATTTAAAAAATTAATTTAAAATTAAATAATTTTAAATTTAAAAAGGTTTAGAGTAGGTTTAAAAGTGGTGCTGAATTTTAAAAATAACCGGGTATGTCAGAACTTATACACCAAGTAAAGAATAACCCCTTTAGGGTCACCTTAAGGGGTAATACACTTACTTAAATGTAGCTGCTATTGCTGAACCTGTTCTGGATTTCTCTAATATAAGGTTCTAAAATTTGGGGTCCATGGAGTCTGTGGATAAGATTCAGAAGCCTATAAATTTGGGCAGGAAAAATTATGTCTTTCTTTGTACTAACCTCTTTATGAAAGTTAAAGTTTCCTTTAATTATGAGAGCAACAGTAATACCTAAGTTTTTGTTACCAGTGAAAATTCTGAGTCTAATTTAATTCTGTTATTTTCATATCACATTTTAGTTTTTACAGATATCTGTAAATATCTTTCCCAGGTTGATATTAGACATTTTTAGATCTTCTTATTTAATACATTATTAAAGAAGCAAATATGTTACTATGTCACAATTTTTTATATTTTGATAACTGTATTCAATGTAATTGGCTCTTTATAATTCTATATATTTTCTTTTATACTTATAAAAACGATGATTCTGAGACAGAGTCCAGGGGCCTTACCAGAGTGCATAAGCTTCCCAAAGCACAGAAAGTTAGACACCTCCACAAATAGATCTAATTTCAGGGCAAGAAAAGCAGTGATGATGCTTTATGACCATATGTTCTTTTTGACAAAAAAGCAGTCTTTAACCGTTTTGGCTAATTGCAAAAATGCAATGCATTCTCAAAGGAAAAAGATACGTCACCACTGAAAATACTTTTGAGAAAATTCCATCGACAAAGAAAATGGTTTTTACTTTTTAGAGACCCAGTCTTTCTCTGTCATCCAGGTTGGAGAGAATTGGAGTGATCATGGCTTATTGCAGCCTCAAACTCCTGGGCTCAAGTGATCCTCTGGCCTCAGCCTCTGGAGTAACTGAGGCTACATGTATGCACCACAGTGCCTGGCTAATTTTTAATTTTTTTTTTTTTTTTGGTAGGGATGATGTCTCTGTTACCCAGGCTGGTTGCAAACTCCTGGGCTCAAGTGATCCTCCTGCCGTGGCCTCCCAAAGTGCTGGGAATTACAGGTGTGAGCCACAGTTCCTGGCTAAGACGGAGTTTTATATACAGAATTATCAGGACTTCTTTTATATCTCATCCTCAATATGCAAATAACTAGTTCATTTAGCAAATACTTATTGAACGTCCATTATGTATGAGGCATTACTGTAAGCACTGGAATGAGTGCAGTGAGTGGGTCAGATATGGTACCTGCCTGGATGGAGTTTATGTTACAGTGGAAGCAAGTGGCCTCCAAAAGCTAAGCTATACAGAAATCTGACTGCATCAGTTATTTATAAGTGTGATGCTGAAAATAATGCAGAGTAATCTAGGGAGTGAGAGGGTGACTAGGGTCACCCATATGGTGGCTAGGTACCTGGATCTGGCATTGCACTTCTTCCATCCAAATCCTGGCTCCATGCACCTCTGGCTCTATGGCCTTGTCCAGGTGTGCACTCTCTAAATCCCAGTTTTGTTGCCTGTAAAATGGACATATTAACATTACCTACTTTAAAGAGGTGTTTTAAAGAAAGTGGCTACTCCTAACATCTCCCCAAGAACCAAGCACAGAATTTTGGAAGTTTTAATACATTTTCTTAAAGAAGTCTCTTTCTTGGCATTGTAAAACATTATCTAGATTCAAGTCTGAGTGGTTAAGTTATTTTATCCTAAGGCATCCAATGGCACAGATGGACATTAAAGTGAGAGAAGAACTAGCTTCATCATTGCCATTGTTCTCTACCGTAGCCCATGCAAACACAAGACCTGGCTGACTGAGAAAAGTGAATGAGGGGAATTATGTCAGAAATGACAGAGAAGGATGGGCAGGATTTCTGGCAGGCACAGGTATTTCTGAGTCAGAAATGGTGTGGTTAGGAGAGAATACTCTCAAGAAGGGGACAGATGGTTTCTGCGGCAAAGGGAGTTTCCCTCATTCAGCGTTGATGGAGAGAATAAAGGCCCTGGCCCCTCCAGTGAGGATATGGAGTAAACAAGACAATCAAGTCCGTCACTCCTGGAGCCTGCATTCTAGTGTGGAAGACAGACAGCAAATGATACATCAACATTAAGAAATTCATGAGTAAATAAAGATAATTTCAGGCAATAATAATTACTCTGAAGAACACGAAGAGGGGCCTATGATAGAAAAGGGGTGTAAAGGAGTTTGGAGGATTTAAGCTGAGTGAGCAATCTCATCTCTATTTTGATAAGGTCACTTTGGCTTCTGTGTGGATAACACATTGGATGCGGATAAGAATAGGAGCAGGGAGACCTCCAGTAGCAGGAGGCTGCTCTAGGGGTCCTTGCAAGGGATGCTGGCGGCTTCGACCCGAGTGGTGGCATGCAGATGGGAGAGGCAGGTGGACAGATGAGACAGCTGAAACAGGAAAAGCAGGCACAAAGGCAAACACAACACAATGTAACAGAAAGGGAGTTTAGAGCGGAAGGAACACTCCGGAGTCATTCTGGTCCAATTCTACAGATGAGGAAACCACATCCCAGGAGGCTGAGGCGGCTTGCCCAGCATCTCAGAAACCGGGCAGTCCCTGAGCCTTCTGACCTCACATCCTCTGCCACACCACAGTGGAGAAACCAGAACTGGAGGAGCAGCCAGAATGCAGAGAAGAAAAGAGAGGTACGGGTGCGAGGAGGAGGAGACCAGAGAGAGAGGAAAAGAGGCAGCGAAGGGGCAAAGAAATGAAAATGCAGGTGGAATGAGACAGAAACCACAACAGGTGAAAACAGGGATGGGGGCAGGCAGAGGAGAGGAGTGAGGCGGACCTTGTTGCTGGGATTATTTAGGGCGGATAGTTTCCAGTTGAGGTTCGGTTTCATAGCCCATTGCCTGGCTCCCTGCAGCTGTCAGGGCACCAGAGGCAGCAGTTGGAGCAGCTGCCTGCACCACCTGAGCCACAAGGACAACGGCAAGGGAAGTGCAGATGGGCAGGAAGTCCCTCTGGGTCAGAGCCAGGGTAGCCAAGATCACATTGTTCTTGCCCACCGCATGGGATGCTCAGGCTTCCCACAGCAGCTCAGAGATCAGACCCGTCCTTTATCCTTAGCATCGCCACCATCATCACCATCATCGCCATGCTCCCATTTCCCAGGATCATGTGCCAGGGGCTTTGCATGCATTTCTCTCTTTCATCCTCACAGAAGCACTGGAGGAAGGTATAGCTTTCCCCAGTTTACAGATAAAGACACGACAGCTTCATTCATTAACTCACTAACCTCATTTCAGAGCCAGGAAATGGAGAAGGGCCCTGCTGTCGTTTTGGTGTTTTTGTTTTGTCTTGTTTTCTCCTCTTGAAGAGGACACACGGAGCCCTGGGTTGATGTTGTAGGAGGTGTTGCTGCCAGGCACTGAAGGGATCCGGTGTTTTCCCCTTCCTGCAGCTGGAGGTCACTCAGCCTGGACTGATGAAGCCGGGGAAGCCTGTGCTCTGTCTGGTCCACACAGCCCCCTCAGCCACCCCAGGGAATGCTCAGATCCAGTTGCACAGGCAGCCCACAGAATACAAACAGAACTTTCTTTTAGAATTTTTGCGCTGTTTTATTGTTTCTTACGGACAACTACTGACCTTCTCTTTTTTCCTTCAAGGCCCCTTTCAAATGTCACCTCTTCTATGAAGGTTTTATTTCTTTCCAGGCAAAATAAACCACTCCCTTTTTGGTGCCCTCATAGTTTTAACTTTTGGCCTAAAGCGCTTGTTTGCCTCCACCATCAGAGCATGGGCTTCTTGAGGAAAGGGACTGTGTTTTAATCATTTCTGTATCCTTGGCATCTAGCACAGTGCTTGGCACAGTAAAAGCTGTCAATAAATGTTAGCTGAACTGAAAAGTAAAAAATGGAAAGGGCATTTATTGGGGCCAGTGTAAGTCAACTGTTTCCATCCTTGTTTCTTTAACTCAGAAACTCAAATGAAGAGGCCGGGCGCGGTGGCTCAAGCCTGTAATCCCAGCACTTTGGGAGGCCGAGACGGGCAGATCATGAGGTCAGGAGATCGAGACTATCTTGGCTAATATGGTGAAATCCCGTCTCTACTAAAAAAATACAAAAAAAAAAAAAACTAGCCGGGCGAGGTGGCCGGCGCCTGTAGTCCCAGCTACTCGGGAGGCTGAGGCAGGAGAATGGCGTAAACCCTGGAGGCGGAGCTTGCAGTGAGCTGAGATCCGGCCACTGCACTCCAGCCTGGGTGACAGAGCGAGACTCTGTCTCAAAAAAAAAAAAAAGAAACTCAAATGAAGAAAGACATTGTCAGTCTCATGAGGAGTCCATATTTTTTTCTATTGGTGAGAGATAAAGTAAATAGCATGTGGATTTCCTTTGGAAGAATAACAAATAAAATTCTTTTGTAAGGCTGCGAGTTATAAAATTAACTTTTTAAAATCTCCAAATTGTCATTTTGCAAGGAAGAAATATAAGTAATAAATATGAATATTCTTTTTTATTTCAGACTTTTGCTCCATAGGCAATAGAAATGAGATGGCCAATTACAGTATTGAAGCATAAGCACAGATCTAACTCAGTGCAGAGGCAAATATCATATGGCACATGATATTTTCATTTTTTTGTGTGCTACTATGAGTAACACTATTGCAAATCCATTTTATTTATGATTTGGTCTTTGTAGCTCCAATTTCATTATTAACGGAAATTTCATAGCATCATTCTTACTGACATGTACTGAAGATAAAAAATACTCTATATTTTCCTCATCTATCCTTGTCTTTTCCTTTATTAAAAACATAGCAAAATTAAAAAAGAACTAGCAATAAGCATACTGAAATCACAACTCAGACGCATGACAATATTCTATAACCATGACACCTGTCTGGGCTGCATCCAGCCAAATATGGATCCAAAAAAAAGGAATACTGATATTTATTACTTATATTTTTTCCTTGCAAAGTAACACTTTAGAGATAACAAAAAGTTAATTTTATAACTCATATCCTTATAAAATACTTTTATTTGTAATTCTGCCAGAGGAAATCCATATGCTATTTACTTTATCTCTTGTCAAAAGAAAAAAATATGGACTGCTCATGAAATTGACAATGTCATTCTTCATTTGCATTTCTGAGTTAAGGAATAAGGATGGAAACAGTTGGCTTACACTGGCCCCAACAAATGCCCTTTCCATTTTTTGCATTTCAGTTCATAGTAGGAGCTCACTCAGGACTTAGCTGGCAGAGAGAGGAGAGTCTGAGGCCAATGTGCACTTCCCAGCACAACATCTCACATCCTCCTCGTTTTTTATCACTCAAGATATTGAAAAACTAATATGCAAGGATGCTGTCATTATAGGGGTAATCCTCAATCTTCTCTAATTATATTTAAAATTATGTCATAAACTTCAGAAATTAGCAAGTATTAGTGTATACCTTATCATTAGCATAATCCAAGGTGGCCTCACCTACAAATAGAGTCATAATTATAAAAATTCTATCTTTCAACCTCCTACTTTCTCAAAATGGAATTTGTCCCCACTAAAAGTTATCCTTCAAAGTAGTGCTTCACCTGTGCCCACAAATACCTGTGGCTACTGCACAAATACTGTGTGGCTTCTACCAGGTTTTTCCTCCTGACCTAGCTCTCATATGTTGATATTTGTTATCCCGTCAAACCTTTCTGTTGCTCAGCTTTGCGGCATGGATGGTGCAAAAAAGCAAATGTTGCTCTGCCTGATACTGTTCCCAAAGCTGGCAAATTGCAGGATGTCACCATGGGGTAAGCTCCAAGAATGAAGGGATTAGGGGTGAAGAGAGAACTGACCTTTCTAACAAAGTTCAGAGTCCTGAGTTACTGAACTTTTCCCTAACTCCATATTAATTTCCTATTGTTGCTATACTGAATTACCAGAAACTTAGTAGTTTAAATCTGCACAATTCATTACCTTACAGTTAAGAGGACAGAAATCCAATCAGGGCCTTATTCAGCTATATAGTCAAGGTGTCAGCGGGGCTGTGGTTTTACCTGAAGGCTCTCAGGGAGAATCCTTTTCCTTTCCTTTTCCAACTTAGAGATCTACCTGCATTCCATTGCTCATGGTCCCATCTTCCATCTTTAAAGCTGACAATGTTGCAGCTCTCTAACCTTTTTCCCAAGAAATGTATCCCTTTAACTTTCCTGTTTTGCTTCCCTCTTCTAGCTCTTCTACATTTTTCTTTTTTCCTTTTTTTTTTTTTTTTGTTGTTGTTTGTTTGTTTTTTTATTTGTTTGTTTTCGAGATGGAGTCTCGCTCTGTCGCCCAGACTGGAGTGCAGTGGCGCGATCTCAGCTCGCTGCAAACTCCACTTCTCGGGTTCAAGTGATTCTCCTGCTTCAGCCTCCTGAGTAGCTGGGATTACAGGTGAGTGCCACCATGCCTGGCTAATTTTTGTATTTTTAGTAGAGGCAGGGTTTCGCCATGTGGACCAGGCTGGTCTTGAACTCCTGATCTCAGGTGATCCGCCCACCTCAGCCCCTCAAAGTGCTGGAATTACAGGCATGAGCCACTGTGCCTGGCTCTCTTTTCCACTTTTAAGGCCCCTTTTATTACACTAAGCTTTCTCAGATAACCCAAAACAATCTCCCTATTTTAAGGTCACCTAATTAGCAATCTAAATTCCATCTGCAAACTTAATTATCCTTTGCCATGGTTCTGAGGATTAGGACATGAGCATCTTGGGGGAGAATATTATTCTGCTACCAAGAATATATTTTTAAAATCTTTTTATTTCCATAGGTTATTGGGGAGCAGGTGGTGTTTGGTTACATGAGTAAGTTCTTTAGTGGTGATTTCTGAGATTTTGGTGCACACATCACATGAGCTGTATACATTGCATCCTATTTGTAGTCTTTCATCCCTCACCCCCTTCCCACCCTTTCCCCCTGAATCCCCAAAGTCCATGTCATTCTTATGCCTTTGTGTCCTCATAGCTTAGCTCTCATTTATAAGAACACATGATATTTAGTTTTCCATTCCTGAGTTACTTCACTTAGAATAATACTCTCCATTCTCATTCAGGTCACTATGGATGCCATTAACTAATTCCTTTTTATGGCTGAGTAGTATTCCATTGTATATATATACCACAGTTTCTTTATCCACTCATTGATTAATGGGTATTTGGGTTGGTTCCATGATTTTGCTGTTGCGAATTATGCTGCTATAAACATGTGTGTGCAATTATCTTTTTCGTATAATGACTTCTTTTCCTCTGGGTTGTTACCCAGTAGTGGGATTGCTGGATCAAATGGTAGCTCTACTTTTAGTTCTTTAAATAATCTCCACACTGTTTTCCATAGTTGTTGTACTAGTTTATATTCCCACCAACAGTGTAAAAATGTTCCCTGTTCATTGCATCCATGCCAGCGTCTACTGTTTTGTGATTTTTTGATTATAGCTATTCTTGCAGAGTAAGGTGGTATTGCACTGTGGTTTTGATTTGCATTTCCTTGATCATTAGTGATGCTCAGTGTTTTTTCATATATTCTTTGGCCGTTTGTACATCTTCTTCTGAGAATTGTCTATTCATGTCCTTAGCCCACTTTTTGATGGGATATTTTTTCTCTTACTGATTTGTTTGAGTTTGTTGTAGATTCTGGATATTAGTCCTTAGTCCTTTGTCACATGTATAGATTGTGAAGACTTTTTCCCACTCAGTCATCTGTTTACTTTGCTCTTTCTTTTGCTGTGCAAAAACTCTTGAGTTTAATTAAGTCCCACCTATTTATCTTTGTTTTTACTGCATTTGCTTTTGGGTTCTTGGGCATGAAATCCTTGCCTAAGCCAATGTCTAGAAGGGGTTTTCCAATGTTATCTTCTAGAATTTTTACAGTTTCAGGTCTTAGATTTGAGTCCTTAATCCATCTTGAGTTGATTTTTGTATACCGTGAGAGATGAGGATCCAGTTTCATTCTCCTACCTGTGGCTTGCCAATTATCCCAGCACCACTTGTTGACGAGGGTGTCCTTTCCCCACTTCATGTTTTTGTTTGCTCTGTCAAATATCAGTTGGCTGTAAGTATTTGGGTTTATTTCTGGTTCTCTATTCTGTTCCATTAGTCTATGTACCTATTTTTATACCAGTACCATGCTGTTTTGGTGACTATGTCTTATAGTATAGTTTGAAATCAGGTAATGTGATAGCTCCAAATTTGTTCTTTTTGCTTATCTTGCTTTGGCTATGTGGGCTATTTTTTGGTTCCTTGTGAATTTTAGAGTTGTTTTTTTCCTAATTGTGTGAAGAATGATGGTTGTATTTTGATGGGGATTGTGTGAATTTGTAGGTTTCTTTTGGCAGTAGGGTCATTTTCACAATATTGATTGGCAGTAGCATCCAAAGATATCAAATACCTAGAAATAAATTAATAAATGCAATGCAAAAATTCTATGCTGAAAACTACAAAACTGCTGAGGGAAATTAAAGAAGACCTTTGAAAATGTGGAAAATTATATTATATTCATGGATTAGAAGACTCAATATTGCGAAGACAGCAATATCCCCAAACTGATCAATAGATTCAAAGCAATTCCAATACAAATACCAGCCAGATTTTTATTAGAAATTGACAAGTTAATTCTATAATGTGTGAAGCATTCAAAATAGGACATATTAGTCATTTGTGGCAAATATTCATGCAATTCAGTTGAAAAAATTATTGAACTTCTACATTATTCCAATAGGCATAGTAAAAGAGGAAACAGCAGCATAACAAAGTGGTAAGACAGCCCTGGGTTTAAATCCTAACACTGTTGCCCATGATCTTTACACATCCACCAGACCTTATGGAATTCTTTAGGGGAAGGGTAGGGTAGGGATGAAGGATGGGTAAAATTTGAAATGACATAGAAGAGAGCTTAGATCTAACTCACACACTTCCACCCCTACTCAAACTACTGGATAAAGAAACACTGTTCTAAATAAATTTTTAAAGTGATACTATACTACTAAGGTGGAAGGCACCTTAAACAGTATTATATTTACCCAAATCCTAAATAGAGTGAAGTGCTTTGCTCAAGGTTACACAAGTATTATAGTGACTGTTATTTATCACGGTCAGACCAGAGCCCAAGCCCAATAGCCCGAATGTGAATACAAACTCCAGATCTTCTACCAGCCAGCTGTGCAGCCTATAGTTAAATCTCTGAAATCTGGAACTCTTCCTTGAAAACACGGGGAGAAATAACATCTTTTTAAAGGATACTTTATTGGGTAATAAGATAATTTTTAAAGTGTTTAGCAAGGTGCTTGACACATAGCAAGTACTTGCTTTTTTTTTTCTCTTCCCTTTTTTCTTCTCTGGCTTCTACCCCAGCTGGTCTCTTCTTAAATATGTACTCCAACATGTGCAATGGTTAGACATTTTGTTGCAAGTACAGAATTCTATTCAGGTTAACATCAGCAAAAGAGGGGAGGTCAGTTATAAGGATAGAGGGGTATCAAAGTCAAGAACTCAGCCAGGCTTTAGACAGTCACCTGAACTAGAAACCATAAAAACAGAAGACCTTTCTTTTCTATTTCTTTTCTCTGATTGTCTCTCCACATCCATTCTCCAACTCCCACCTCTCTGTCTCTCTGTATCTCTCTCAATCTCTCTTTTCTCTGCTTCTCCAGGATTGTGGTAATAGAAGATAGGAATTACACAATTCTTGACAGATTTCTTCCACTTACCAGCCAAGACTCAGTCACAATGTTTTAGTTCCAATACCAAATTCCGGGGAAAGAGAATTTGGTTTTGGTGGTAGGGAGGAGCACGGAGTCACATAATATACAGTAGTTGTCAACACTTAAGCTGAAAAGAGCGGTTATGGGGTTATTGTAAGTTGGGCAGAGAACCCTAAAAGTCTACTACAATATCCTGGCAACTTCTTTGTAGATATCTAAGAAGAATCCTTATCCGTAAGTGAAAGGCTTTCAGCTTAATGCAGTTTAAAAAGGGGCCACACCAAGGTGATGAAACCCTGTCTCTACTAAAAATACAAAAATTAGCCGGGTGTGGTAGTGGGTGCCTGTAGTCCCAGCTACTTGGGAGGCTGAGGCAGGAGAATCGCTTGAACCCAGGGGGCGGAGGTTGCAGTGAGCCGAGATCTCACCACTGCACTCCAGCCTGGGCAACAGAGCGAGACTCTGTCTCAAAAAATAAATAAATAGATAAATAAAAAAATAAATAAATAAGTAAATAAATAGTGGGGGGCCATAATGGGCAATACCCCATGTCTCAGTGTCTTAGTGCATACATTGAACATTTAGATTTTATCCAGTTCCAAAGCTCCCTGTTGATTTTTTAAATGCCCAGAGTCATGGCAATAGAATAAATTTTCTCTAGTCTCCTTTCTTGGCTTAGTCATGACAAGGCTGACATCAGATATTCTTGCCCTTACAACCTGGGCTTATGGAAAAATTGTTCTTAAGAGAATAATCTCATTTCACATAGGCTTGGCTCTAAAATAAGGGGCCCCTTTCATGGTTGCTCTGGAAATCTGCCATGAGATATACTATATCAGGAAATATTGGCTTAATGTTTTTTCTTCTATTCAACAGTTACTCTCAGAGTTCAGTTATTAGAAACTCTCCAGCTCAGCAGTTTGGTTTTCTGCATGTATACATGATTTTCTTTCTAATGAATGAATTCCATATGAGCTAATTATAGAAAATTAGATTTTTTTGCAGAAATTAGCATGGTTCTTTATTAGCAAAACCAATTGCATTTCATTAATTTTCTTCTTAATTAAAACCACTGGTATTCATGGGAAATTCAATGAATAACATGCTTTTCTAATGAATGTAAGCTTGTGCTATGCAAATACCAAAGCCATGCATTACTACAAGTGCTGCCCCAGGTCATTATTGTAAAATAAATAAATAAATAAATAAATAAACAAAAATAAAAACAAAACAAAACAAAAAAACTAACACAAGTCCTCTTTACTCTGCTTTGGAGTTTTATTAACCTGAATAGAAAATACTGCTGAGAAGTTTTAAGCTCAAGTCTCAGCTCAGCCATTCTTTTCTATAGGCTGTCTGCATGTTTGGAAGTCTGAATTGGTTGAAGTTGAAGAGGATGTGTATCTGAGGCACAGCTCTTCCCTGACTCATGTGCCTTGACACTGCTGTTGAGGTTTGACTCGAATCCCAGAGTTTTGGTGTGGATGAGCAGGGACAAATTGCTGAGCATCAAGAAGAGTAAAATTAAGCAAGTGGAACATATGCCTCTGCTCTGCACAGTGAAATGAAGAGTCAGCTGTTGAACGTGTGTGCGTCTCTCATTTTCCCAAACAGGATTAACCCGCCATGATTTATGAATTCACCTCTTTCTTAGAGGCTTCCTTTCTTTTTTGTTAGATCCTCCTTTGAGAGCATCTAGGGTCCTATCAAAGCGAGAAGTGACTTCAAGCAAATCCACACTAAGACGTGAATTAATAATGGCTACCAAGCACAGAGCTCTTTCCCCTGGCACACTCCTGGGAAACAAGCAGTTACAACACTTGTGGAGAGTAATGTGATAGTATACATTCATTTTTTTTTTTTGAAGTAGAAACATTTATATTTAGAAATTTAACCTTTAGTAATGTGTCCCACAGGAATGCTTGCCTGAGTGTACCAGGATTTTTATTGTAGCAGTGTTTCTCAAAGGAAAAACAACAACAACCTTAAAAAAAACCTAAGTGTCTATCACTAGGGAAATAGTTAAATAGATTATAGTACATTCATTCATACTATGGGACACTCTGTGGACAATAAAAGGAACAGAGTATACCTGTATGTTAGAACATGGGAAAAATGTTCATACTACCTGATTAAATGAAAACAGCATTTTTCATTTATGATTCAATTTTCATAAAAGAAAACAATACATTTTTATGGACTTATATATGTGTTTTATGCACACAATAAAAGATGCAGATGGGAGGCTGAGGTGGGCAGATCATGAGGTCAGGAGATCGAGACCATCCTGGCTAACATGGTGAAACCCCATCTCTACTGAAAATACAAAAAATTAGCCGGGCATAGTGGTGGGCACCTGTAGTCCCAGCTACTCGGGAGACTAAGGCAGGAGAATGGCCAGAACCCGGGAGGCGGAGTTCGTAGCAGTGAGCCGAGATCGCGCCACTGCACTCCAGCCTGGGCAACTGAGTGAAATTCTATCTCAAAAAAATAAAAGATGCAGATGAATACGCAACAAACTGTTAACAGCAGAAGGTGGGTATGGAATGGTGAGTAGGACTTACACATTGGTATTGTTTTAACTTCCTATCATTAGAAGACACCATTTTAAATTAAAAAAATAAAAATAGGTATGGTTGAGTACAGAATTTCAGTTTGCAGTGATGAAAAACTTCTGGAGATGGATGAAGGTGATGGTTGCATAAGAATGTCACTCAACTGTATTCTTAAACATAATTAAAATGGGAAATTTTATGTTATGCATAGTTTACCACAATAAAAAAAATGGTAACTTTCACAAGGACATTTCCATTACATAAGAAGTGAGCAGTGTGAAGCTTAAAGATTAGTTTGGTAAAGGGGCCTGGGCAGATTGGAAGTCCTTTGAATGCGATACCAATTAATTCGATGTAATAGACCCTCTAGAGTTACAGATGATGTCTTAAACAGCATTTAGGATAAAACAAAGGGCACTTTTGGCTGAGAGCAGCATGGGAGGCCTCCGTTAGGTGAAATAGATATTGAAGGGAGGTTATTTGTGGTCTCTAAAGTCATGAGACCATTGCCCTAGTCCCCATCAGTCATAACTTTTTCTTTTGCCCTCATGAAGCCAAGCCTGCCAAGAATAATATATTTATGTCTTTATATACAGCTGCCTAAATCCATTTATCAACTATTTAAGAGTCTGTATTACATTTTTTGGCCATTTAATTGTATGGAATTACAACTTTCAAGCTTACACATACCATATTTGACATAAAAAGTAGTTACTGGTATCTATGAAATAAAAAGAAATAAGAGTCCAAGGGCAACTTAACACTTCCACTACCAAGGAGTATCTTTAAGTAAAGCAATCAATAAGCAGTTTTCAAGTGCCTACCATATGAGCCAGGTAGGACACAAAGAAACATAGTAAAGTGCCTAACCTTAAAGGGCTTACTACCTATAAAGGAAATAACCAGTACACAAGGCATTGAATTGAATTGAATTGAATTGAATTGAATTGAATTGAATTGAATTGAACTGAACTGAACTGGATTGGATTGGATTGGGTTGGATTCTTTGCAATTTCATACAGGGAGCATTTAACACCCACTAAAATGTCCCACTGTGCAAGGCAGTATGGGTTTGAAGGAGATAATAAAAATACTAATAAAATATGTTCCCTTTCCCACAAAACTCCCAATTTAGGGGACAGCAGGAAGGAACTAACTAAAATGCAAGCCAAAATGTAACCGTGATATAATAAATTATAAACAAATTTGCAAGGAGGACTAGCTTCATTCTCTTCATGTAATGCATGAGCATTTGTAAAGGGGTTGAACATAGGAGCAGACTGAGAGAAGCGAGGGCCATTCAGGTTGAGAGAACAGCATGAGCAAAGGCCTGGAGGACGGAAAGTGCCCAACTGTTCAGAGAACAGAGAGAGGTTCTTGTCATTTAGAGCGTAGCGTACAGGATGGGGCACAAGACTCTGCATGAGATAAATTAGGGGAGGGAGAGCATGGCCAGAGCCTTGGGGCACTTGCAAGGAATCACAGAGGCACAGAGTCCAAGGGCTGCCGGAATGCTCAACAGCGGCGATTTTGTGCACAAGAAGCCATCCTTCTCATCCAGGTTACTGCACCAGCTTTCCATCGTTCCCTCCATTCTATTTCCACTCAGGCCCTCTCTAATCTGTTCCCACACTGCGATCACAGTGGTCCTTTGGAAACTGCAAATCAGATCAGGTCACTCTTCTGGTTTTCTTCTCTTTTAGAATAAGTTCAGAATGTTAATATGGCCTCTGGTGTTGTGCACAGCAGGTCTTCCGCACACATCCCCCAACCCCCACCTGACCTTGTACCAGGACACCCCATTTCTCCAATAATGTTCCAGTATACTTGACCTGCTCCTTCCTGATCCTAGGCTGCTATGGGGTATCTCCTGTGCTAATTGTAATGCTGGAAAATAGTAGGTGGTCAATACACAGCTGTGGAATGCAGTAGGAAAGGTAGGCGTGCATGAAGGAATGAATGGAGTGCCTCTACAAGATTCTTCTCAAGCACCATTGTGCCTTATCATGAAGTGCTTGCAGGAGCCAGAAACTCCCTATTCTGCTTGGAGAGCAAAAGACAAATGGGCACAGATTCTGAGGTAAAGACAAAGGAAGCTGAGGATGTACACATGTTTGCTGACATTTACTACAATGTGCATTTAGTACATTTGGGATTGAGGGGAGTAGAAAAGGCCTGACATGGGGCCCATGGAGAATAAAGCATGCAGAGGAGCTTTGAGGTTTGGTCAGAGAGGATGAGTGGGCAGAAGGTCAGGGCAGTGCTGGGGAAGAGAGAGCAGAGTGCTAGGTAGACTCAGGATTGGTCAGGATGAGCATCATGGAAGGTCGGGGGATTTTAGAGAAGGAACAAGGGTATGGCTGAATTGACCTGCCATGGAGTTCTGAGTGGACAAGAGAATACAGAAAGAGGGATTACACACTGAGGGCGGAGGAAAGGCTGGCTGGAATCCAAAGGAGTGTGAGAGACATGTGTCCATGAGATTGCAATCACAGAGGCAATTCGGAAAGGTCCAGATCACAGAAGAGAAGACCTGCTCGAGGCAGAGTTGCCTGGTGGCTGGAATAGAGAAGGAGATCATGGGAATCAAGAGCAGGAAATTGTTGGTCCAAGAGCTGACGTCACTAGGGATAATAGCTAACCATTGGACCCTTTTGATGGCATGTATAATTATAATCCCACATGTATTTGTTGGTTTACTTGCTATTGTCTATTTTTCAGCATCCCAAACTAAATTATAATCCCCTCAAGGGCAGGGATGAAGTATGTTTCTGTGTGATATCCAGTGTCTGTCATAGTCAGAGATATTCATTAAATATTTGGAGAGCAAATGAATGAATGATTGAATGTGTGACTACAGCACACCGCTTCTCATGAAAATGACTCTGTTTATAGCAATTGTGTAGTACTAGTGGGAAAACACTTGAGATTGGAGAATAGTGAGGACATAGTTTAACCAAACCGTTAAGCTCCGGATTATATACAATTGTTTGTATGATACTTAAGTTGTTCTCTCCATTCTGAAAGTGTATGTACTTCAAGGGCAAGAGCCAAATCCTATATAATCCTTATATAATACTTCCTTTCTATCCACAGAGCAGTCAGCAGAACTCTAGAAAAATAACAAGCAGATGTATACAGCCTGGAGGGGAAGGTTTTATAGTGAAACAGACTTTTAGAGTTAGAGAAAACTGCCCCATCACTGATCTTCAGTAACTTGTCTCCTCATCTGTAAAGTAGGAATAAAAAACAGGATGCAGCACATAGGGTTTATGTAAAGCATAAGTGAGATAATGCATATACCCATCTGTCAGTGCCAGGTACATAGCACTCCATGTAAGATAGCTAAAGATAAAAATACGATTTTATCTATTTTTTGGACTGTGCAAGCTTCAGTTGGATTTAGGGTTTGTCATTGTTTGTAGCAATGACATTCTCATGCTCTTCTCAGCACCCTGGCCAAAAGGTTTGCTTCAGCAGCAGTGATTCCAGACCCCAACTCTGCTCTTCAGAAGCAGGTAGATCTGCAGGCTCCCGCAGCAGGGGCTGATGACCTCAGGGGCTGATCTGGGCAAGCACAGCTCTATGCTGCCCTCTGGTGGACGTATTTTGGGCTGCCCCTTCCCTGCCATGGACTTGCTGCGGTGCTGACATTAAGGTGCAAAGATAAACTATAAGAAGAGCACCTATGAGGAGATTCTTTGGAGATCACAGGGTAATGAGGGAGGAACGCACTCCACCAATTGTTGTGTTTGGTTCAGTTTCCCAGTTGTACGATCCTACTTCTAACAAGGGAATGGCTATTTCTGCACCAATGAAAAACTCATGACCTCCAAGGGATTTTGGAGGTCAGTCAAGGTGGTTCTGAGGCTCTGAGAAGGGCAGCGTTGAGCCTAAGCTCACACAGTTAAACGATGACTTAGGCCTCTTAAACTGTGTATTATAACCATTTGCAGATCACTTTCTTTCTGTAAGGAAAAAGTCACAGGGCTCACCATGAAATGCAAATTATTCTAGAAGGGCATCTGT